GTCGGCCTGTCTCCGCATCCGACCCAAGCGAGGATTTCCGCAGCAGTTCTTCACGTATCCACGACCGTCAGTCACGCAGTGAGTACTGTTTTTACTCTTGGATCGGCCGCGTACGAAGCCACCTTCTTACTACTATCCAACGCGCACTACCCTGTTATCCTCGGGCTCGACACGCTGAAGAATCTACCCTTCTGCGTCACCCTCGACGGCCAGCGAGTTTTTTCCGGATTTCAGCAGATTAAACCCATTAACGAAGCCCCAACAGCGCCGATAGGCGAGGGCATCACATTCGTACATGGGACGCCCGCAGAGCAACAAAAGATCACGGCACTACTACAGCGCTACGCCCCTAACATCTTCCAGTGGAGCGGTAAACACGGACTCTTCCCGCAGCATGTTGCGACGCTACCGACCAACGGCGAAGACCCCGAACCCAGCCGCCGCATCCGGCTCTCACCAGACAAGCGGCCATCGTTCCAACACATCATAGACAATTACACCCGCGCGGGTATAATAGAACCAGCCCAGTCCACCGTCAATTCACCGGCCTTCCTGACGCCGAAGGACGACGATCCGAACGCCCCCGCCATCAAGCGGTGGCGCCTCGTAGAGGACTATCGGGAAATCAATAAAGTTCTACTGGCCGACAACTACCCCATGCCAGTCATTCAGGACATCCTCGACGCACTAGGGCGCCAAAATGCCTATTTCTGCTGCCTCGACTTGCACTCGGGATATCATCACATCCCCATCGCACACGGCGACCGCCACAAAACCGCATTTTCGACCTACACAGGACAAATGCAGTATACGGTCCTACCATACGGCCTCAAAACGGGACCCGCCATTTTTCAAAGGACCATGGAAACCATCCTGCGCCCGCATTTATACACGAAATGTCTGGTGTATATCGATGACATCATCGTCTTCGGCAATACCTTTGAAACGGTACTGGAAAACCTACATCAGGTCCTCGATACGCTTGCGTCCGCAGGAGCGTCCATCGATATCCACAAATCCAAATTCTTGGCAGAGTCAATCAACTTTCTGGGTTCACATCCTCGACAAAACGGGCACACGCCCCGCGGAAGAACACCTCAAAGCCGTCCAGGCCTTCCCACAACCGGCAACCACACGCCAGATGCAGCGCTTCCTGGGCCTCGCCACATACTTACGAGCCTATGTGCCGACCAACTTTGCACAACTGGAAAAAGTCCTTCGACTAACAATCCCAGTCAAACCGGCGACAGCCATCATCTGGTCACCCGAAGCGACTGAAGCGTTCGAAGCTCTAAAACAGGCGATAGCAAACGCCGCTCGGCTGGAACGGTTCGACCCAGCATGGGACACCGAGATCCACTGCGATGCGTCCGCATCCGCAATAGGGGCAATCCTCGTCCAAATCGACCCAGACGGACAACCCCACATAATGGAATACGCGAGCAGGGTTCTAACCCCCGCGGAAACCCGCTACTCAAACACGCAGCGAGAGCTGCTGGCAGCGGTCTGGGCGACGACCAAAAAATTCCGCCACTACGTCGAACATCGGCAGTTCAAGATCATCACGGACCACAAGGCCCTCCTCGGGGAACTGTCCGACACACGACTCATCAGCCTCAAGATCAAACTGGAGTCATTCAGTTACACGCTGGTACACCGACCGGGCAAGACCCTAACGGGGCCAGACGCCCTAAGCCGCATTCGACTAAATACCATCCAACTCAAGGAAATTCCGGACGAATCCGAACGCCAGGACATCATCGACGAATACCACATTGAAATGGGACACCCTAGCTGGAAACGGACGTTCCACCAACTACGCCAGCGATATACCTGGCCCGAAATGCGAAAGCAGATATTTAAGAGGGTTGCCGAATGCACAAAATGCTTCACCTTCAATCCGGCGACAGCCACAGTAGGGACACACATGGAAGCCGTCCCGACCACCGACAAACACAACCGCCTCGGCGTCGATTTCTGGGGACCTTTCCCGCCGTCGCAAACAGGCAACCGATATGCCCTCGTGGCCGTCGACTACTACACCAAACGCGCTATCGCGCAACCAGTGAAACGGGCGACAGCCAACGCACTCTGCAGTTTCATTGCAGACGTCTTCGCGCAGCTGGGATCCTTTGAAATCATCCACTCGGACGGCGCAGCAGTCTTTTCATCCGCAGCATTCAAACGATTCACCAAGGCAAATCAAATGGAAGTGCACATTGCACACCCATACCACCCAGAAGGCAATGGCGCCTGCAAACGCACCATCAAATCCCTAACCGCCATCCTTGCCAAAACAGCGCCAAACGCTACCTTATGGGACCAAGTCCTGTATGAAGCCACCATGGCATACAACAGGACGCCCCACTCTACCACCGGGTTATCACCACTGGAGCTGTGGCACAAAAAACCAATGCCAACGCCAGCAGACATCAAGTTCAACGCACCGCCCAGGGATATTTCCAAGCAACTCCAAGCGGTACAATAACAAACCGCCCAGGACCGTCAGCGCCAATATATCAAACAAGCCAACAAACGAAAACTGCCACCGTTCCACGCGGGGCAAATGGTAACGCTGCGTCCGCGGCTCAAAACCACCGAACGGCATGCGGCGCACCGCCGCTTCCTGCCCAGACGCTACGGGCCCTTCAAAGTCCTCCGCTATCAAGGAAAGGGGACATACGTCATTGCAACCCAAAACGGGCCACAACTCGCGAACGCCTGGGAGCTCCAAAAATACTCATTTCCGAATGCCCCCCCCGAGACATGCCCAGCAAAAATCCGACTGGCACCTAACACAACCCTCTCTTCTCCACAGAACGACGAAGATCGCCCTCGCTTTTGCCTAGGGTACGAGACCGACGACGGCTCCGATCACCAGTACGACCCTCCCGGGCCAGCCGAACCAGACGAACGCCCGAGCGACGACGAGAACGCAACTCCCCCGAGCGACAGCCACGCCGCTCTCGACGCGCTAGCTCCCCAAGGGAACTCTTCATCACCCGCACATGGGACCGACCACGACACCCGCCGCCAGACAGATCGACGTCTCCCCAGCCCGCACCACATGCGCCCGTCACCCGTGTCCAGCGAAGAACTTCTCCTCCCCGAGAGCGTCGCAGAACCCCCGTCGCCGCAACCGCAACCAGACGTCACAGCGGCAAGAAGCGCCGCTGGTTCCAGCTCTCCCCATCGCCATCCACGTCATCCTCATCCGCCGTTGAAACGGAAAAGGACATCAAGCCGCCAAGCGTCACGCTCGCGCAACCGCTCGCCGGACAGGGGCCCCTCACCGACGAGGACTGACGCAGATATGTCAACATTCGGACTCGCAAACGCACATCATCGGCATCGCCCCAAACGACGGCGCTGGCGCCCAACGCGCTACCAGAATCAGTGGCCTCCACCCCCAGATTTCTTTCGCCGCCGCCGGCACCTTTCTTTTTCAGGGGGGGGAGAGTAACGGCCAGCGGCCATTAGTCCCGCGCGACTTGTACAAACGCGTATTCGAATCGAGCTTCGTTCAGATCTCGTACCCAATCAGGGTACGCCGGCGCAACGGCCCGCGCGCCAACAACCGGCCATCAAAGAGTGCGGACCTCTGTTCTATGTGTGCGACAGTATACTATTGTGAATAGACTTCAGTATCCCGATATTGGTGTCAACTTATTCCTAGTCTAACTGATCCTAGTGCGACTGTGAAGAAAGCTTACTATGTCGCCCCCGTCAACAATCTGTCTTCAGTAAATTTGAAATGTTGGATTTTTCTTCTACCCCGAAGAAGATTAAAAAGAATTGCTTACTGTAACCAGGGTGAAGTGTCATCGCAGCTTTCGGCCCATGCTCATCTTCGTGGTTCGATCTTATACCTAATTTTTTCGAGAATCATGAGTTCAGTCGTGAAGACTGTTACACATGCTCTTCCTATTTGCTTGAAACTTACGTTTGCGTCGATGTTCAATCTCAATTTTGATTGATGACAGGAATTGCCTTTCTCCGAAAATTCTGTTCGTTACACTGCGTTTTGAGTGATTGATACAAGAGTTGACTTCGAGCTTCTTGCGTAATGCGTGAACCGTTATTATTCTAACTTCATTTTTCACGTTGTGAGTCTGTGTACGAACTGGATTTTTGGTTTGGAGGTTTCAGCGGTAGTTCGCGATTGTGGTGCTTTCGAAACGCTCACGCGTTGTGCGTGATAGGTATGGGCCGTTTTCTTCTGTTGAAAGGGGCAAGCCTGACGCTGATCGTAATACTCAGTGTTCCTGGTAAGATATCTTCAAACTTGCATTGATCAGGAATGCCTTTTTGAAATGAATGATTCATTTTCAGCTCTAAACGCTCGCATTGCCGGTTTCAAGGAAAGTAATTCCAGTATTACTCGCTGCGAAACTCTGGATTATCTGAAGTGCGGGGACAACCATCCCGATGGCGTTCCATGCATTCCGGAAATCCGCGATTGTGAAGTTCCTGAACCAGGAAAACGTGCTCACTGCTTTGCCCTGTGGAAGCCTGGAAACGGTTCTGGAGATGTCATTCAGCCTTTGAAGAAAGTTAGTTTTTTGGTCGCATGCTTGAATAAACATGATATCATTCGAACTGTATTTATCACATCAGGGTTGTTGGCTGGACAGTAAAGAATGCTATGATCGATTCGAGTGCATTGGAACAAGGCGCCATACGAAAGGGGACATGAATTTTTGCTGCTGCGAAGGAGATTTATGCAACAAGCACCTATCGTTTGACCCGACATCACCAGAAGAGCTAGAAGATTCTATTCGTAAATATCCCCCTGAAAATCTCCTGCATTCTCACAAGCTGATTCAGTGACTCTTCAATTTAGGAAATTATCCATTCGGCTTGCCGTCCTCCTATCATGAAAGCGATGTGGCGGATCATCCTTCCGGATTCACCATCTCGCTGTACATCATTTTGGGCGCATTAGTTATTTCTGTGGGCTTGATAGTTTTGCTTCTTTACCGTCGACAAAAACCGATGCAGTATTTCGACCAGGTACTAATTGTTCGAGTACATACTTCGGCGTGACTTATATTTATTGTCTTCGAATATGTCAGATCCCGGTCGAGACAGCCATATCACCGTTCCCACCGACACTGAAGCCACATGTACTAGCTGCTATTGCCTCTAATGGTCCGTATCGTGGAGGTCCGATTTTTGATTCCAATGGAGATATTCAACCGGAATTAAATTCTGCGAACAACACTCATTTTCTGGAGCTGAAAGCACGTGGACGTTTCGGTGCTGTGTGGCGTGCTCAATGTGGCAACCGCATTATTGCTGTGAAAACCTTTTCGATTCAGGTACGATTGGCTTAATGTTACGAGTATTGAGATGTTACGGCTTACAACTCAGTTTCACTCTACTGTATTATGCTAGTGAGCCTGAAATGCTGTGAGCTACTTTTAGTGATGCTTTGCTGCGTGGATTTTGCAAGTTGTTGGAGAATTTTTATTTTTTTTTCTAAAGATAACTTTTTTAGAATCTCTATTTAGACTTACTGGAGACTGGACAAGATGATAGGGTGCATGGAAAAAAAATGGTGTATTATAGATTGTATGAAGAATCGTTGTATTAATCTTCATGCAAAGTGGAAGCATTGATGTCTTTTTCTGGGTGACTGCATTTTTTATGCGGAGTTATTGAATATCAGGAAATTACTGTGTACAAGTGAGGTACATTAATGATTACGTGCAAATATTGATATTGTTAAATGTTAAACGATTTTTATTCATGTTTTATTTATTCCCCTTTCATCACTGAACGTATTTTTTTTAACTGTGGAGTCGTAGGAACTCACCACGTAGCTACTCTTGAGGTGATTTTTTTAAAGCATTTTTTAAGCATCTCCCGAAATGTATTGAAAGGGAAAATTTCCCCCAAAAATCTTGGAACATGTTCTACACTCACATGCGTCATTTGCAACTTCTAGATTGATGAGCTGTGCATGCAAAGACCATATTTGAATAAACTCGAGGCAAGTATTGAATCAGTGCGTGCATTGAGGTCATTCACTAATTTGGGTCATGTATTGTGATGTGGACTCGACATACAAGATAGACAGGAAGAAAGATGTCAACCTCATCTGGGTTCAGTGTTACATTCATGTATTGCTGGATTTAGGCTGTACGATGTACAGTATTTAACAAGTCCGTACAGTATAGCGAGCGTATTTAATCCTTCTAATACAACTGCTCTCACAAAGTTTAGATGACAACATGCTGGTTAATTCAGATTGATTCGGAGAAATATAATTATTTCATTGGTTGAAAATCTACCATGTTCCAAAATTTCCGCGGAAGAAAGAAGCTCTACGAGAATGGTTCTGGCTTCAGCACAGTATCTTGTTGCCCTTCTGAATAACAAAAATTACCACACAGTAGATGACAGTTGAAATTTTGTGCATTAATAATTGATAATAATTTTATTGTTTCCTATTTTCCCTCAGGAAAAGGAGTCATGGAAGCGTGAATTGGAAATTTATGGCCTCCCGAATATGAAGCATCCAAATGTGTTGGAATTTCTGGGAGCAGAAATTCGTGGAGAAGGTTTGCAGCGGGAATTCTGGATTTTATCGACGTTTCACGCGGATGGGTCCTTGTGTGACTTTTTGAGAGTAAGTCCGGATATTCTGATCTTCTCAAGCACATGAAAAACTCAATTTATCCTGGATTTTCTTTCAAGTCTCATACCGTCACTGTGGAACAACTCACCACGATTCTAACCGGCCTGACGGCTGGATTGAATCATTTGCACGACGACATGTGTGCTGGTCACAGTTCAATCGGAAATTCCGGTTTTAAACCGAGCATTGCACATCGGGATTTCAAATCCAAAAACGTTTTGGTGAAATCAGACTTAACAGTGTGTGTTGCGGATTTCGGACTGGCTCTTGTGTTTTATCCTAATCGCAACATCGGAGATGTTCATGGACAGGTAAATCATGTTTAGATTGAAAGCAATTGTTCGAGTACTTGTACAGTGCTAAAATTCTTGCTTAAGGTTGGAACAAAACGGTACATGGCCCCGGAAGTGCTGGAAGGTGCCATCAACTTCACCAGGGATTGTTTCTTGCGTATTGATATGTACGCTTGCGGTTTGGTCATGTGGGAAGTGCTTAGTCGTTGCGTTGATTGTTACGAAAACGAAGTAAGTACAGTAATCGATTTTTTGCTTTGGCGATGCATGTAAACTAATAACCTGCATTCTTTTTTCACTTGCTCTCCAATTTCCAGATGCCGGAGTATCGAATGCCTTTCGAAGAAGAGTTGGGTCTACATCCTACACTTGAAGAAATGCAAGATGCTGTCGTTGGACGCGGAATGAGGCCAAAAATTCCGCCGGTCGCGTTGACACACCCTGTAAGTGCATTAATAAGGAGCCCGGAGATTTTAACGCATCCCAAAAAGGGGCCTTCGAAACAGCACCCGTCCACGTCACGAAAAAGAAAAAAGAAAAGAAAAAATTACCCTTAACTAAAACAGCAGCCGCAAATGTTTCACCAAAAGTACAATAAAGTGCCATATTGTTCTTGAGGTTTTATTGAACTGATCTGCGATTTTATTCTGTTCATCATTTCGATCATGTTACGGAATTTGACCTGTATTGTAATCATCATATTAGTGTCAAAGGAGAGTGGGACAGTTTGAAAGAAAAGGGAAATCATCCCAAAGGAAGATGTACATTTTAGTTTTTTGCATGCAGATTACAGTATTGTGCGATTTATTCAGTAAGAATCTAACGTGCTATTGAAAAACATGATTCATTTTCTTTTGTTTGCAGTATGTCTGTGCTGTTTTCCAAAATTCTGGTATTCGCTTAACTGTTTGATCATGTATAGATTTGTAACTGGAGGTTTGTGGAAGGAAAACCAAGTCTCTTGAATGTTCTCGTGATTGAAGGTATTATCCCAATATTGCGCCACGATGGAGGAATGTTGGGATGCGGACATCGAAGCTCGCCTCTCCGCGTCATGCGTTGGAGTTCGAATCGCGAACATGTCTCGTGGATCAAATCATCGTTACACTGATACTAGCTACGTGCCGAGTAGCGGAGCCGTGGGTGTCGTAAGAGGTGTCAGCGGCATGTCGATAAGTGGCGAGTCTACTTTGACGACGTCCTTGTTGCTGTCGTCAGCGGAGAATAGCGCGTCAAATGATACAGGTCTTGGTGCTCCGAGAACACTGCACTTCTCAGGCTCTAGTGGTCCTCCTCCTTACGCTTTGCGGGATGGACCGCCCAGGGCTATTTAAAGAAATGTTCGAGAAGTGCGGAAATGGAGGATGATTGTGAAAAAATGAGCTTCCTCTTCGACACCCGAGAAAGTGTCGTTTTTAATTTGGAACGGATCCGAATGTTTTTGATTGTTTTCGAATGGTTGACAGTATCCGGACATTCTCTGTAATTTACGAAGTTATCGCGTAACATTGATCGACTACCCACACAGTACTTTGTTCCGTAAATCACCAATTGGTTGCTGGATACTGTCTTCCATTGCTGACTCTCAAATTTGTGAACTTGAGGACTGTGTGAAAGTAGCTTTGGATGATAGGCAGTTCGGCCGTAGAATTTGGAAAAAGTTCGTTTTGTTGTTTCATTTTGTTGTGGGCGGTTGTTTATTATTGCGATGGAGGAAGAGAACTTCTACGACTAAGATCTGATCAATTTTTTTTGTTCATATTTTGGGCATTAAGGCACAAATGAATTGGTAAATGAATGCTATAAAAAGGCTTGCTATTGTTTTCACAATCTGTTGTTTACATATTACATTTTTATTGTTCCATGCGGAATAAAACGCGAAGTGTAGATTTTCTGATGGAAGATTATATCTTGAAAAGCGTTTGTAAATAAATAAATGGTGCCGTATGTGTCCTGCATACGATCAATTTTTGAATGTGGATTTGAAAATTTCACCTGGGCAGAGTAGACCATTGATCCGACGGACATGAGATGATGAAATGAAGGATGACTATTGAAAATGAAGAAAGTCTTTTATTAATATCCATGCACTGTATTGGAGCTCGGTGCCCCTTGCTGAAATGATGTCCAATACTGTACTCCCGTGTCCATGGAGTAAGGGCTTACCCTTACCGAACAGAGCGACATCTAGGAAACCCTATTGGCGCAAGGCCAGACGTAAATGTCACCCACCCAAAACTCCCAGTCCTATCTCTTCATCTGATCGACCACTGGCGGAGGCAAGGACGGAGAGAGACGAGATCATCACTTCGCCTTCAGCTCTTGACCAAGACACTTGTCTTAATCTGTTGACCTCCTGACATCTGTGTAACTGTTGTGAAAGAAATAGACTCTGTGTTCGTGAAGAAGTCCCTTTATTCTACAAACTCTTATTATGGGAAGGGATGGTTTTTAAGCCATGTACAGTAAGGGCACCCCCTTACACACTCGAGCATCACCTAGCGGCAGTCGCGCGACCCGCAAGCTCCACGTGTCGGCGAGATCCAACGTGGATTCCACGTGTCGTATCGGCGCGCGGACCGGAAGAGGGGCGCGAGGAGGAGCATGGGGAGACAGCCTGGCGGCATTCTATTCTGGACGTTTGACGAATCAACATCCTCTTTTATACTCTCTCAATGATTGACTTGTGTTTGTGGTTATGAAGATTGGGACTCTGGAGAAATAAGACGTGTTGAAGAAGAAACGTGTGTCGAAGTTACTGGAAGTCTGCAATAACCTTATTGTTCCACCACAAAACCAGTCTATTCCCCGGGTAACTCTGTCTGTCTGCCCCAACAATGCCTTAAATCATGCACACAAAAACAATAAACAAAGATATCTTGAGATACTGTATTACAGTACAGTATTGTCATTTACTTGTAACTAAGGATATTTGGAGCAATACAGTACTTTTTTCCACAATGTTCTTAGAGTATTGCAGTTCTGATTCTTCTTGACCATCATTCAGTGATTTCATTACTTTTGGAAAGAATAATTTGAAAATTGAGTTTTGGTTCAAAATTTTTAAACACCAAAGTAAAACATGAAATTGAAATTTGAATGAAAAATTCTGAATTCTTACAACAGCGGTATTCGACTGCCCCCTTTTTGGGGGCATAGTGTAAATTTCAAACATGGTTATAACACATTTGTATCACTTTAATTTAATGTGAGGCATCTGGAAACAACTGGAAACAAGCGTTTTGCCCCCTTTTTTTTACCAGTAAAGATAAAGTCAGATTATTTTAAACGTTGGCAAGAACAATTAAGGTCTTCCCTTCTTTGTCACAGATCGAAGAAATAAGAAAAAAAGTATCCATAGGTACCATCCATGGGTAGGCGTCGACTTGAGAAACTTGCGAAGCACCAACGAGAAAAGTGGT